TGTGTGTGTGTGTGTGTGTGTGTTCGGACATTTACCCGAGCTTTTCAGTTCATCAAATAGAGAATCGAGTAAGTTAACAGTTTACAGCGTTTCCTGTCTGTGTGCGGCCTCATAAATGTACGGCCATCCATCAAGCGTGCCTCTCACGTTCATCGGCGAAACTTCAAATTCTACGGTACTTGGTACTGCTCCAACTCACCAACCAGGCCAAAATTAAAATTTCACGATTTTTTTGATCATTTGCGCACTCAACCTCTACCTCCTGTGCCCAGGCATGTATTCCAAATTGAGAGACTATTGAAATACTTCCAGCTTGGAAATTAAACAGGGCAGAAAGCTGGAATTTTACGAGGGCGTTTTACCCCCATGTCTGATCTAGAAACATAAAATCAGCTTTCAGTTACGCCTGTATCTGTTCGACAGGACAAAGTTTTAACTGCAAAATTACTGGTTTATTTTCAACTCGGGGGTCGGAATCAGAAAAGCTAAAAAGCTGAAATTTTGTGAGTACAATCCGTATCGCACCGCCGCAGATCGAGTGAAAGTTTCACGTGCAAGTGCTTGTAATTCGATGAATTGTTGAAGTCATGCCAATTTCGCAAAATCAGTCAGGCTATTAAACTGTGAGAATGAAAGCTGTGAATGTTCAGTTCGCAAATAGATAATACAAAACGTGAAAGAAAAGGTCCCGTTAAAACATTTTCAAAATAATCCGCAAAATCATAAAACAATGAACGCTCCTATAGCAAGCACCGATTGGGCTAAACTATGTGAAGACGTATGCTCGCACCTGTTATTTATTGTTCGGGGCTATTTGTTCTATAAAAGATTTGCTTTGGTGCCTTCGATTCTTTATGTTTACTTCTAGTAAATGCATTGCGTAATATATGAGCTATTGTGCTTTGGCGTGGGTAGTGGCGTTTGCGAGACAACGTGCTGTGGATAGTCCTTTACGTATAATATAAAACTCAATCTACAAAATGAAAAAGGGGGAACGGGGCGTCCAAACACAGTTGGCTTGCCGTGCACGCAATCAAACACTCAGAGAAACGTATGACTCCGTAGGAAGAGACTCAAAACTGCAGCTGAGGCAACGGTGTGGAATGGTGTTTGCGGAATAGATACGTTTGTCGAGTGGTGTGTCGGGTAGATAAGCGTGAGAAGACAAAACGTATGTCAAGCCGCAGTGGTTCACGTACAGAGACGTGCGTCGAGTAAATGTGCATGAAGTCGATGGAGGACGCTGATCCTAAATGCGAGAATTGCCTTCTCATACGAATAAGAAAGAAGTCATTTCCAGATTGTCGTTTCAAGATTCATGCCTGATCGTAAGACGGGAACAGCGGAAATGTTTATTCCTTAACAGAAGTTTCCGACACAAAAATAAGCGAACAAAAAATGATTAATGGGGAGTCTTAAAGTAGGAGAAGGGATTCTGAAAAAATAGAAACAGATAATAAACCATCCTTTGTTTCAAATTCAGCTCGACCCTAAATTAGCCGCATTTATAGTCCGAAAAGTTTTATCCACGAAAAAAAAAATGCAAGCTAAAAAGGTGGAACCTCGTAAACGCAGTTCACAGTGATCTGAGAGAACAAAAGCCCGAATTCAATCCTACCTTCGCCATGATCTTTGATCGCAAATCCGAAACAAAGTATGAATTCGAAATTTTGTGATGAAACAATACAGTTGGAGTAGTCAAATTCATCGTTTAATGTTTATTCATATCATTGATTTGGCAAAAACACATGCTTGTCGTTTGTCGCATCATATTCCTACGAGAGCCAAGCAGCCAATATTTTGCGAGCAAAATGTTTAAGCCATTTAGGAGGCTATAGAGCACAGATCAGAAAAGTACTATAGCAAAGTAATGCTTATGTATGTAATTTACAGTCCAAGAATTTTCATTAGTGAAGGTTAAGAAGCTGAAAAATTCAGCATTTGTGAATTCGCCATGATGCGTTCATGCATATTACCAGTAGAGCAGAAGTTATTCCCTTGATTGCTTATTACTTAATAATGTCCTTCGTTACTTAATGATGTCCCTCGCTTGCCTTCAGGTGACAAATAGCCATTAAAAGCAATATAAATCTGGTCCTTAGTTTACAAAAAAGTCGAAATTCCAGGTCGATGGCATCTTAACGCTGGATGAAAATATTGCAGATAATGGTGGTGTTCGAGCGGCATACATGGTGAGCAGTTTAGTTAATTCGATTTATGAACGAATTCAAGTACCACTTCAGGAAAATTCGTTCTTTCCTTTGACTAATTTTAAATTTTTTGTTAATATATGTATATATACTAAATATAAATATAGGGAGGCATCTTACCGTGATCTAAGAATAGCAACATTTGGGACGAGATGATCATATTCAGTGTTCTCGAAGAATTTCTCTGAACTGACGTGCCAAAGTGCTTCTGACAGGGGGAAATACAGAGCTCGTGACCCCTCTGGGAAGCAAAACGAACTTCAAAATCGCAAGTACGTTGACCAACAGATGATTATTTAAAACATCTAAAAAGATTGCTAGGTACATAATAGAATGGCGGCTCAAACTGCGGCTGAAAAAGATTTGTACAAGATTCTTTTAGGCAATGAAAGAAGCCAGTGGCGAGACTACGTATAAACGCGAGCGGATCCGAGGACTGGAACAATACAGCGACGAACAACTTTTCTTTATAAATTATGCATATGCAAGTTTATTAATAATTTAAGCCTTCTCTTTTTTTACGATGAAAGACAGCACTCTGCTGCAACACTCTCGACGCGTCTAGGCAAAATTGGACAAATGCGGAACTTTATATAACAAACAAAGTGTTCAGTTGGCCATGTAAAGAAATTTTACGGATCTGTGCCATCTTTCCGTTCTGTCAACCGTCAACTTTTACAGACATACTGTGGAACAATGCGGCCAAAAATGGCCCTGGAATTGCTGCTGAACGACGAGCACAGTCCGAAGCAACAAAGAGTAAACGTACCGTTGGGGAATATGGAATCATTCTTCGATGCCTTCAACTGCCCGCGGGATTGCGCCATGAGACCTAGGAAGCAATGTCGACTGTGGTAGGACCTGACCAATACCGGAGATTATGGACAGAAAAGACTAGCTGAATGTACCTCATCAAATATCCGGGAAAGTGACACCAACTGCGATAACAACGGCTGGGAATATCAAATCCAGTGGAACACAGCATGGAAAATTTAGAGTGAAATTTGAAAGGCAAACTGAGACCTAACTGGTTTTCAACACAATTATTTTCACAAGCTCCCCACTGTCAGCATAACGATCGTTTATTACAATTAAGTAAAGAATAACACCTATCAAGAACAGCACCCACTGTCCGGGTCCCATTAATCATTCTCACAGAAATTTTGATAAATTTTGACGCCGGATTCGCCATTAACTGAAGACGACATCAGTCTGCTTCTAGAAAACATGCCTGCAAGTAAACTTCGAAGAATTATTCAGATGCTTCACAGCGTACAATAATTAGCCAACGCACTGGCTGCCCGTGCGAAGATGCGTTTTTTGCATAGTCCCTCGCAGTTTTTGTTGCTACCGGCACCGGCTTTTTCGGCAAATGTTTCTAGCTAAACAAATTAAGACTGACCGCCAGGACTGTCAGGAAACAACCCCTTAAAATCTCAAATTTCTAGCTTCCCTGGCTCCTGAGTTAGCAACTTACTGGAAAAAAATTTTTGCGGGCCCGTGCGTGTTTGCCACGCATACCCGAGAGTTGGGTTTGAGCTGACTGAAACTTAGGTGGACGGGACATACCCTCTTAAAATTACAGTCCTTCAGCTTCTCAAATACTCGAGTTACGAAATTACCCAAAAAAAATTTTAGCGGGCCCGTACGCAGGTACCACACTTACCCGGGGGCTGGTTTTGAGTGCACTAATACCCACTTGGACGGGGAATATCCTCGTAAAATTTCAGCCTTCTAGCTTTTCTGGTTCTCGAGTTATCAACTTACCCGAGAAAGATTTTGGCGGGCTCTTACGTGGGTACCACGCGGGTAAGACCGCCCATTCCGGGGATGGGGCCTGTACGTGCATGTAGATTATGTACCCAAAGTTCCAGCCCTGTAACTTTTGCCGGTCTCGAGATGAAAAATCGGTACAGACGAACACACAGACAACCTCTCGTCAATATGC